GCTGCTTTTGACTATCCCAAAAAATTTGATTTTGGACGGTTAAAATGGATTTTAAAGAGAAAGGGAGGAGGGGTCAGTGAAGCGCACCGGAGTTTAGCCTTTTGTCATCCAGTGTCCAGTAGAAAGAGAGAGACCAGAAGAAACGATAAAGCTGATAAATAAAAATGAGGTAGAAATTTTTCGTTTATCATGTGATTAATTGATTTATTGTTTATTGCGACAGGCCTATGTATGATTGCTAAATTATAATTTATCAGTTATTTTCATTGTCTTATAGTTTCATTACCTCAAGATGGTAAAAACTTTGTATTCAAAATTTACGTTCTTGTCATTGAAGACTTCATCTTAGCCTCAGTTAACTCGTGGATAAATGTTTCATTCATTCATACATTAATTATTTGACAAACCAGTTTTCTATCATTCTAACATTTGGCCCTTACCCTTAGAGGAGGATCACCGTCCTAATGAGCCCAAAAAGCTCTTTTTCACAGATTGTTGATCAGTTTCTTCGATTGTCGTACAACCATGCACAATGCAATAAACATATTAATAATTAGGCAATTATAGAATTTTTAAAACATTTACCAAAAACTGTCTGGTTTGCAAATTGATAATTTGATCTATTATTTTCTGTCTTTGAGCGTTTGATTGGAATGACTCGTTAGGGCAAACACAACTGAACATGAGAATAGATAGCAAGTTGTCAAACTGTAATTATCTTTGGAGACCGTGGCGTTGAGAGTCCTTCAGCCTTTTTCTTCATTCTGAATGCAAACACGTTTCTGGCTTCCTGCAGCTTTCCTGTGGAGTTTATAATAGAAAAGCTTTTCATTAGAAGACTGCTGAGCTACATGACATCCCTTTGATCTCCTGCGTTTGTTCGCGTTCACGTGCGTGCATACGATAAAAGGACGGGAACTGTGCGAGTGTGTATGACATAATCTGCATGTATGTGCATGTGTGTGTGTGCCACCAAGTAAAGGTGAGAACATGAAACACACTCTTTCATATTTAATGAGTGGAGATGGGCTAAGAAATGTAGCTGGGTGTGCAGGAGGTAATCCCGTGGGCTGTCAGCCTCCTCACAGTATTCCGTTGTACGCTGCTATATCACTCACAACAGTGTGTGTATTTGTGTGTCGGGGGAGCAAGTACACATTTTAGTCAATGTGCATGCAAAAAATTGTGCTGAAACTTTGTTTGTGTTGAGGGGATTGGGATAGGGGTTCAGGAAGGCAAATGGCAGGAGCACAAGCATTGTTTTTCTTATTTCTTCTGCAAACTAGGCCAAGAGGGGGTATCCTGCAACTGTCACATGGTGCATTAAGTGCTTTATGTATGCATGTTTGTGTGTCTTTGTCACAAGACGTTGGTTCCTCAGGAGCCCAAAGTGTTTTATACCCCTTTTCTATTAGTAACAGTACAGCACGGCTCTACTCGACTCAGCACAATACCAAGGCTTTTCCATTAGTAATGGTACGTAGAACGGGTCCATTTTTTTCCAGAACCCTTGGTTCTGTGGTTCCAAGTGGGCTGAGCAAGTACCAAAATGTGACGTCAGAACACTGTCGGGTACTGATTGGTCAGAGGTAGAAGTCACTGGATCTTTCAGAAACTTTTCACACCGATCCGCCATTTGTAATTATTAAGGAACGCAGAGCAGCAGCTGAATCTACATTTAAGATTTTTTTTAATGACAACATCGTGAAGCGCTGGCGTTTTTTGTGCTTGGTGGCCGACGACAAAATTCAGAGCGAGCTAGATGGAGCTCAGCCTGTCTCCCCGGTCCTCTCCCCCGGAGCCTCAGAGTCGGGCCTGGCAGGGCATCATCTTCCCACCTCCGAGCTCAGCTGGTCACCATGAAGGATCATTCGAGCCGACTCGCAGAAGGTCGTTGCTCGGACTGGCTGGGACGGAGGATGGAAAGGATTTTTAAAACATTTTATGTATTAAAAAAAAAAGTATATCAGTCAAGATAAAAAAAAAATAAACTGCCGGCTTTATCAAGAAATCCTGTTTTCTCTTTGATGGCTATTAAATAATCTGTTAAAGTTAACTCAGCTGAAAAAAAATCATAAAAAGACACAAAATTATTGGATTTCTCAGGAATATTTCCCTCAAATATGTTTAAAGAAAAGCTGTGGCCTTTAGTACAACTTTATTCTAACCCACATATGTACAAATCACAAAACAAGAACTTCTAAGCTAAAAAAATAAAAAAATAATAATATATATACATTTATGTATCTGTGAACAAGAAACAAAACCACACATCTAAACTGAGCAATAAAAGTAGACACAATGATTGCAAATACATCAAATGATGAAATAAAAAGGTATAAAATTTTAAATATAGATTTTTTTTGTAGACTATGCTTCATCAGAGATTTAATGGTGAACTAAAGTTCATTAGCAGGACTTGTGTATGTATGTATATATATATACATGCATATATATATATATATATATATATATATATAGATATGTACTGTACCGAACCGTGCTGTACCAGTACTAAAGCTACTAATGGAAAAGGGGCATTAATTTTCTCTCTGATTGTTTTCCTTTCTGATTAGGAAGCATTTTCTTCACCCTCATATCCACTCTCATCCTGAATAACTTTGCACGGTCACTAATCATAAGCTAGTCTGAAAACCCCGTCCTCGAGCTCTGTGCTAGATTCAGGGAGATGCTCTGTTAGCAGGTCCATCTCGCGCTCTGCACGCTGAATTGTTTTGAAATATTACACCATTATGCTAAAAATCCTGGAGTCTGCATACAGCGTTGTGCTTCAAATGCTAATTGGTCAAAACCCGGAAATCAAATGAGGAAGAGTTTTTTGCTTTTTTAGAGAGAGCGGTCCCATCAGTAGGCTGTGTGCAGAGGATTGATAAAAGCTGGTGTCTGAATACAATTGGAATTGATCACAGTAAAAGCAGCAGAAGCCTCAGTCACTTTGCATTCATCCAGAGCTGCAAACAGTTGTTTTGCTCTTTACTTTATCTGAACAAGTCGTTTTGTGGTTTCTAACTACTACTGAATGAGTTTCCAAGGACGAACATCACTCAATAAATCCTACGGGCTTCTCCTTCAGCATTGCGAAGAGGTTGACATTTTTGGTTTATATTGACCTTCCTCAGCAAGCGTTGTCTCTATATTTATTAAACTTGGCTCAGACATTCATACTCTCCTGAATAAAAACAATAAAATGACTTTTCATCTGTCAGTACAATTCCAGTTATGGCCTTGGACTTGAAACATTAAATCTTAACATCATGTTTGCATAAACAATATGAACTAATACTGCTAAAGATTGCACCTTTATCTTCTAAATGAAGCTTTTTAGCATAAGAAATAACTATATTCTTGTGCGTCTGTCTTATTTAATGCCTCCACGATTCAGTTTTGTGGATATAGAGCATATTTGTATAGTGATCATAACTGAGGCATAAAGAAAACAAGAAAGCATCTGTAAAAGCAATCCCTCTGGTGTTTTTAAGGCTTAAAGACCAAAATAAGTCTCTAATTGTCTTTCAAAGCACTTAATTAATCCATTTACATATTATATTTACTGTCAGCTTATTCCTTCCCCAACAAATTATCATTTTAACAACGGTCGACCTCATATATGTCATTGAGCTTCAGCTCTTGTCCACAAGTGTCACCATGTTTAGATTGTCTCTTATACGATGATGTAACGATCTTCAGCCGTTCTTTGGCTGCACACGGGCGAAGTCTGTAGCTCCTGTTGCTAAGCAACTTCAAAAGCAGACATATTTGGGCTGTCACTTTTTTACAGAGCCATGTCAACAGATGTAAACAGGCATGATGAAAGGCCACTGACTGTATGTTTTTTTTTTTTTTTTCTCAATGCTAAGAAGCTCGATGACAGCAGACAGCTGATCCGGTGTGAACAAAATGTAACATTTGAATATTTTCTCATAAGTGGCAGATAAACATTTCAGGTTAAAGCTGCGGTGTACGGCTTCCTGAAAACATGCCAGGACTTTGGGGATTTTTCTGACAATATTTTCTATTAGGGATGCACGATATTTGATTTTTAGTCGATATCCCATATACCAATATATTAAAACTTAATTGACCGATAACCGATACCAACACCGATATTTTCTTTCCTAGACCTACTTGCAGAGACTAAAAAGCTTTCTCTGCTGTGGAATTAAAATACTACATTATTCTGCATGGTCTTTGTCAGTTTGGCCTGCTATATATATAGTTATATAAAACAGCACCTTTTATATCGGTAAAGTTATTTTGATGGAATGTCCAATATTTAACTTTATCGCTCATATTGGCCGATACCAATACCATACCGATAATATTGTGCATCCCTAGTTTATATGTTTTGTGAAAAATAAGTTAACTTTAAAAAGTGCCGTCATTATACTCACTCTCCTTTTTATGTTTCATGTCCATTCTTAATAATTCTGTGTATAGCTAAAGCATTCACACTTCGAAATGCCATTTAGTGTTTTATCACAAGATTTTATGGTTTGATCTGCCCGTCATCTGTCTGCAAACTTTATCCAACTTTGCAACATTCAGAGAGAAACCATAAAACACCAGACATGTCTAAGATAAGGCTTTAAATCTTATCAAAGTTCTCACATCAAAACAAAATTTACAGCCTGGAAAAAAATGCACAGGGCATAAATATTTCACAGATTTAAAATCTTCTTCCTAAACTTAGTGGTAGTTTTAAACTTGTTTTCTTGTAAAGGGATGCATCTGGTGCAGACATGAAAGAACCAATAGCCTCTTTAAATCAACCAATGAGGCAAGTTCTGTTTATATTATTAAATAAACCAAATGATGTCCAGCCTGTTGAGAAAGAACAACACTTAGCATGTGATAAGTCGCCGTTAGCTAATTCTGCCTCTAAAATGTTTCCATGCAAGATCAATGAACTACTGTAAGTAAATTGAATTAATAAACTCTCATTAATGCTGTTTTACCTAATTCTTTTTTTTTCCTTCCAGAGCTTCCGTACGGCTGGGAGAAAATCGATGACCCCATTTATGGGAGCTACTACGTGGAGTAAGTTTAGTGCATGTTTAATATTTGAAGGCTTGATTTTCATGGCGGCCTGTTGGCGCAGTATTAATCATGTTTATTAGGAACAGTTCAACAACGCGCCTGAGAAGAGGAAGTTTATTAGTCTGCGCGTGCTTATCTATATTTCTATTATCCTCTTGTATTGTATTTATCAGTAGATTAACTCAAGAGCAAGCATTTTCTTCATTCCATATCAGTAGCTGCTGCAATGCTGTTCTGCTTTGACCCCTCCTCATTGAGCGGTGTCATGCTTTTTTATTTTTATTTATTTTTATTTTTTTTGGCTGGACGCTTTCCATGCTGGAGCACAGGGACGGTGTTCTATTTTTAGACAGGCAATGGGGAGTCACTTGGCTCGAGAAACCCTGCAGAATGACACCAAATATACTGCAATCCCCTCTTGAGACGCTCTTCTTATTTTCTTGCTTTTTTCGTGATGTAAACACCATGAAAGAAGTTACCAGACCCTGAAGTTATATAATTATGTAAAAAATGGAGTAAAGCTGTTGCGTAATGTTTGTAATGGAGGTGTTCAGTAAAAGTTCTGGGAGTTTGTGTGCGTCATTACACAACGCAGCTTTATATCTAATGACTAATTATTTCACTCCAATATAACTTACTTATTGTGGTCAGTGACGAAATTAAGAACAACGTGGAACATTATGGGTTTCCTCGCAAAATAAACAAAAAGGGATAAAAAGGTCCAAACTCAGTAGCTTTTTTTGTTTGCTTGTTTTTTTCCACAAACCCATTCTGCTTTGACATAATCTGAGCCATTAAATTAACCATCATAGCAATATCTGCTGCAGCGTCATGTTTATTACATGTGATCTACATCAAAAGAGAGGTTACGATAGATTCAGCAGGGTGCTGGGAAATGTGAAGTCTTTGTTCTTTTGTTACCACAGTCATATAAATAGAAGAACCCAGTTTGAGAACCCGGTTCTGGAGGCTAAGAGGAGACTTCAGCAGCAGCAGCAGATGCAAAGCCAGGGTCTGTCCTCACTGCCCCTTCCCACCATCTACAGAGGTAAGACTGGTCCCCAGATGTTTGTAGGCATACAATGGAAAATTAGAATTGTGTTTACGACACTGCCGGACCATGTTCTGTAATTACACTGTATGTAAATTATAACCATGTAAAAAAAAAGTCAGAATATCTTTTATAAATTATTTTTAAATTAATTTACAATAGTCTTTGATACCTTATAAAGCAGGACTATTCAACCGGTGGCCCGGGGGCCAAATCAGGCCCACGAGTGAACTCAGTTCGGCCCACCAGTGGGTTCATTTTTATGTCAAACTCCCATTTTAAATCTTAAAACAAACAAACTTAATGACAATAACTGCTGGATGTTTGGTAGAGTTGCATTCGGGCCTAAAAAAAATCCAGCCTGGCCTGGACCTAGCCCTCAGGCATTTTTTTCCGAGCCCGACCTGACCCGACTAATTGTAATTACAAGCCCGAACCCCCCACCCCCCAAAAAAACTTTTTTTTTATTAAGCTTTTACTGCTTTTGTAAGCAAATCAGTTTGACATGGTAGTCTTAAAAATATATTTCAAAGAAAGTAAGATAGAAGATTTCTTGTTTAGTAACAAATCACCAAATGGATATTAGCATACAAAACGAGCCTAAAAAAATTCACTCTAAAGATGAAGATGTCTTTTTTTAACCTCGTTCAACCGGCCAGTTAGCGGATGCGCGGCTGATGATCCCATTGTCCATCTGAAGCTTAACTGGTCTTTTTTTTTTTTACCTCTTTCAAACAGTCGGTCATTTTAGCTTTTTGTTTAATACTTCCCAGTTCCATTATGTCACTTGTTGTGAGTCAAGTGCAAATCCTCAAATGTGTGATAAGAGCAAAGGCCACATGCTCAATTGTTGCACAATGTGCCAGCATTACTCTCTCTTCACAGTTTTATTAACTGCTCAACTCTATTTTATTTCTCTCCTCATCGGTAAACTTACTGCCTCCTCCTCAACAAGTAGATTAACACAATTTTATATTGTTCATTCTTATTTAGTTTTCTTTGTGCTGTATGATTCGTCAAACCGCATCAAAAGCCCAAGACTGACACGGCCCACCCATCAAGCACATAATTTTGGCCCAACCCGGCCCAAATTTTAGGTCTGGTTTGGTCTGTCTGGGGGCTCGGGCCAAAAATTTCAGCTCTAATATCCAGAGCTCTGAGTTTTCAGTAACTGTGGCTCCCTGAGCAATTTAGTTGAACATCCCTGTTGTAGAGTATTTTCCACTAAATATGCTCCAGGGCTGGTGCAGGAGCTGGTTCTTAACTCACGCTTTAAAAATAAAGAACTAATTTGGTTTTCCACATTCAGAGACACAACTTAGAGCCATGCCATTACGTCAGAATAAATTCCAGTAAATGATTGATCCTCCCTCTGTTGGTCCACTACCATGTGCTGAACAATCAATGCTAACTTGGCACCGACTATTTGCTGGGCCTGAGCTAAGAGCTGTTCAGTAAGGAAAATATCTATTGGCTACTCTTTAAGTAGCTAAAAGTCTCTAAATTACATCATCGCCTGATATGCACAATTAGCCATGTGCATGTGATAGTAATAATTGCTGTGGAGAAGAGGAATGACACAAAAAAAAAAACAGTAAATATGTTTTAAACTAAAATTAACTTTCTTCTCTTGATTGTTTTTTAAAATACTGAATCCAATCCTTCACTTTTTTATCCGGGGACTGGTAAAAGTGGTCCAACAAGGATTCAGATGGGTCCGAATACTTGCTTAATGTGACAAAGTGGTTACGTTGAAAACACAGGACTTGATCAACGGAGACCAACAACCAAATTGTTGAGAGCGCCATATGTAAAAGTTTACAGTTGTTTTTTTTTTCTTCTTTCATTTAGCTTAATTTTAAACAAAACACTTGCTCTGGATGCACCACTGTAACATGTTTGGGTAAAAACAAAATATTTTTATTGCAAGAAAAATAGATTTTGGATTATTGATTTTGACAACCAAACAGGCCTTTATTTATTTTGTTGTAATGCTTTTCTTTTGTTAGCTATAACAGATATCCATAT